AAAAAAAATTGAAAAAATTTCGAAAATTAGCGATTTTTAAATTTGTAATTTTTTTGGAGGTTTCCCCCATTTACGGGGAACGAGGGAAATTTTTTCAATTTTGAAGGGTAATGTCTTCGACTAGATACGATTTGTGATATTTGTGTCATTAGTAAAAATTGCTACCGAACTTTTTCAAATAAGATTACTTCATTTAACTTAGATGCTTTAAAAGTATCATTTAGTAAATTACAACAAACTAAAAATTATTTTTATTTAGTTATGCCTATACATTTCGGTGGCTGTAGGTGATATTTTTAAAAAATTTTTCTGACAAATATTTTTTTAGTAAGATAGGGCTAAACAAATAACATTATTTCTTAAAAATATTATTTTATTTAAATATGAGGAAATTTAGTTCTTATTTTATTTTATGAATAGAGTTACGAGTTTTTTTTTTCTATATATTTCAATTATCTCTCTCTCTAAAAAATAAATTATTTGAGAAATGTTTACATCTTTTTTTTTTAAATGTATTTAAAATAATATTTAAAAAAAAAAACCAATACAATATACAATAATTGTATATAATTTTATAATTATTATATCAATACGTCATAGAAATATAATATTTATATTGATATAATAGTAATAAGAATAAAATAGTTCTTCATTCATATAAGTGAAATTCTTAAAATGTTTCTTTAAAAGTTAAATTACTTAACGGATTGTAATATTTTATATGCTAACACACGATTAACTATATAATATTCCTGTTTGGTAAATTTTAGCTTCTCAAGCAATTTATATTTTATTCATAGACAAGTCATTTTAAAAATCTAAACTGAAATACCATTTTTCTAAAGAAAAATTTTATTCTGCATTTAACTTATAAAACTATACAGAATAAATGCATTCCATGTAAATGAATTTATAAATGCAATTTACAAAAATTTTAATAATTTCAACTTTAAATACTTTATTGTGTAAACAATACAAATTAATTTCGATTGATCGAGATGGTAAAAATCTTTTTTATATAACCTCCCTCTCCCATACGTAAAAACCCTGATCAACTCATTTGATAGATATAAATAAAGGTGTCTATTCTAGTAAAAATATTTAGTTATGCGTGTATTACACACTACAAAATTTAGAACAGTAATGCTTTATCAGCAATATAGATTTTAGATAAGTTCACATAATGTTTCATGGAGTTAAAGGACGTTTAAATTAAAATAAATTTTATGACGAACGTATAATGAGCAAAATAGTATAAGACCAGTTATTAAATAATGTAACGACACAAATTTATGTTGAAAATTAAAATGGCATTAATCAATAAACACAGCAGAACAAATTAATAAATATGCATTAATTAAATTACATAAATTACGCACAGATCAGTGCGTTCTCTGGGCTTCAGAAGAGGAGATTATATATAATAAATTTTTTGCTACCCCTCCGAAATATACTAGTATCTGTATCATATATTTATTTTCATCATGAGGAGTTATATCTTCCATATCATCCTCGTAAGAACTACCATAGTACAAACGACGATATGGAGAACCATTGGTGCCTCAACAATTCGCTGAGGCTATGGGAAGAAACTTCTGTTTAGCGACGAATGGTATACCGATCGGTATTAGTTAAACTTTGTATCACCGCATATGATAAGTGATACGCGATCAAAAATTGTCTATAAAATAATTTTAATAATAATACAATTATAATAACATTTTGCTACTTGAAAATAATAAATGTTGATTTAAATTTAAAATTAATTTAAATACAAGTCAACCGGTCCAGTGATCAGTACCTGGTTTTGTGTAACAGCTGACCACACACAGTGCATCCCCAAAATGTATGTAACTTTCTACGAACCATGCGGTTTTTCTAAACAACATCGAGATGTTTAGTTGTCAACCATGATGGCGTGAGTCGGTGAATATGGCCGACATGATTGGAAATCACGATGTGTAAAAAAAACGCCTGATATGTAGAAAGTTATTTTAGGATAAGTATTTTAATACATTGAGTAGGTATATTTTGAAATGGTAACAGTTCGTACAGGTGTACGTATATTTCGCTCGCGTTCCATACACTCTCTTGATTAAAGTGCTTGATCAACATTTTTTGTAGAAAAATAGCTAATAAATATCTTTTTTAAAATTTCGAAAAAAAAAAAATATATTTTATTAGTGATAAATAATAAATATATGCTTTAAACAAAGTCTAAGAGCGCAATAATTATTTTGAAAAAAAAATCCAACAAAATGATAATTATATCAAAAGTTTTAAGAATTGTCTGTTAAATATGTTCCTTCTGGAATATAAGTGTTATCAGTTAAGTCTAGGCTTAAATGCATTTTACCACACCATCGAGTTTTTTCAAATTTTTTTTAATTGATTCAGTTTTTTATACTGACTAAGAATATATAAAAAAAATTTCTCGGCAAAGTCCAGTTTAAAAGTTATGAGCTTTCAAAGTTTTCAACCATCATTGACAAATTTTGTTATATACTTCTGTTCTTTTTGTTTTTTTGCATTAATTCATTAGAAAAAGTATTCTCGATGATTTAGTAATCGAATTTTATTTATTTATTTATACTAAAAAAAATATTTATGTGTGTGTAGGTACTTAAATAAAAAAATTTACGACGCGCCGCTCAATTCAAACTGTTGCTGAAATGGTATTGCTGATACTTTTTAACACGCTTATATTAGTTTCACCTGTATGTATGTATGTATGTATGTATGTATGTTTGTAACTCTCCAAACGCCACGCGTTATCGCATATTCCGTCGTCTAGACTAGACTGTCATAACGCATTCACCCCTCCCCACGCCTCGCTCACCACACGACGGCACACTATTCCTATAAAAATTTATTTTTAGTTATCGTACCCGTACACGCGTGCTTGTCATCAATATTATATATATATAAACAAATTTTTATTTTGACTGACCAATACCGCCCGCGTCTAATGCGCCTTACGTATATATATTTATATATTCCTACCACCGTTTATACCTCAGGTATAACGTTAGTCCGACCCGCCCGCCCACAAAATACGGTTATACCTAGTGCATGATACGTTTACGTACTTAAGTTGCATTATTTGTATATATATTCTAATTACTATTAAAATTTATATATTAACACGATTTATTCTAATTAAGAGATATAAAGTATTCATTCCGATTACGAGGGATGATTCCCGTATCGTCATTTTTCGTCACTACCTCCATGTTCCGGGAGTGGGTAATTTACGCGCCTGCTGCTTTCCTTGGATGTGGTAGCCGTTTCTCAGACTCCCTCTCCGGAATCGAACCCTCATTTCTCGTTACCCGTTACAACCATAACTACTATCATAACTTGAAACTAAAAAGTAAAAAATAAATATAGTTTAAAAAAACTAAAAAAACACGATTTTAAAGCACATCGAACTAAAAAGTTCACAATAATTTTTAAAATAAGCTTAAAACAATAATGAACGAAAAATACTAGTATTATTGTAATAAAAGCGTAGGTGCTTTGTGCCATATTTTTCGTATATTGAGCGCCCGACGCTTTTATCACAATAATACTAGTATTTTTCGTTCATTATTGTTTTAAGCTTATTTTAAAAATTATTTTGAACTTTTTAGTTCGATGTGCTTTAAAAGCGTGTTTTTTTAGTTTTTTTAAACTATATTTATTATACATACAGTAACAGTTTCAATTCTAACTATTTATAAAATTTTTTGCATTATTATAATTTACTTTAAATACATGGCTGAAGATTATCACAGCTGTAATTGTCATACCCAAGCATCATTATGCATTACTAGTTCAGGAAGTAATAAGGACAGACCGTATTACTGCTGTGCAAAATCGCGCACGAACCCACAAAGATGCAATTATTTTAAATGGTATCAAAATGAATACTGAAATTTCAATATCTAATGTAATAGTATTTTTTTTTTGTTTTCAACAAGTGTTAATTGATATACATAATATACAATTCTAAGTAAAACACCACATCGTGGTCTTTTTTTTTTTTTTTGCTCAACTTGAATTAATTGAGTTTCTTGTTATTACCTAATCACTTATATAAAATTTTATGAAAACCCCATTTTTATTTCGTATTGCGTAATTTTGAAAAAAAAAATTTGGAAAATCCTTATTTTTAAAGTTAATTTTGATTTTAGGATTTTTAGAATGAGGATATTATGTAATAATTACGTCATTATAGTTTCACAATAGTATCATGAGAAAAAATCCCAAAAATTAACAAAAAAAAACAATTTTTGAGCTATTTTTAGTTTTTGACGTTTCAACTTTAAAAAGCTATAACTTTTGAACCAATTTTTTCAAACACTTTTGAAAAAAACATTGAAAAATACACGTTTTAAAAAAAAAAAAATTGAAAAAACTCGATGGGGTGGTAAAATGCATTTGTTCCTAAGTCTGAGACACATTGTATATATGTATAAAATTATAATTTATGCAATCGCAAAGCTCCAACAATAAATAATCTATACATCTAACAGCTGTATTTAAAGAGTCATAAATTTATACATACATTAAACTTGTGTTTTTTATTATAGCTTTCAATATATAGTTTTGGGTGTATATGAATATCGATCCCACTATGTTGAGGCTCAAGAACTGACGCTATTAGAACGTTATCAACTTACCCCTTAATATTTTGTTTATTAAATAATTTAATTTACCTGTGAAACAAAAAAAAATTTAGCTTGATTTGTTTTTAAAAAAAATTACGTATTGAATAATTATTTTATACATTTTTTAGGAATAATTTTGCTTAATCTATATACAAATTATTTTATTTAGTTCAAAAATTATATTTTGGTGTACAAATGTTAAAATCACGAGATAAGATGAGGTAAATCCCCTCATCTCTTTAATTATCCTATATGGGTTGATGCCACTTTACAAACTTTACTTGAGAACCACCACTATTTTAATGTAAAATTGGAATCCATAATTATTTTTATTGGATAAAATATTCTGATTACCAGTATATTGGAATACAATATTTTAAATTAATATAACTTATAAGAAAGGACATGAAGGTTACCCAACATGACAGTATTCCAATTTATGTATTATAGTAAAATAGAGTATAGCTAAACATTCTTCATTAAGTCTAAATCTTTAAACATCATTATCTTAAAAAGTACTACTTGAAAACTGGTTATCAACTACAGACATAATTTTATTGAGTACGTTCTTATGAATAAAACATTGTTTAAGGAAAACAATTAGATGCTGTATTTTTAATAAAACATGCTGTATAATGCATTTCTTTGATCAAAATGATACTTAAATCTTGTAATTCTGAATGTTTGTTCATTTGTCAGTTTATCAGATTATTTTCTTAAAACATATTTCTTATATATGTATAATATAATAATAAAATGAAATTTAATAAAATAGTGTATGATTCCCTACTCATTTATTGACATTATTTGCTGAATATCTTATATTTACAATTTTTGTTGACATGATCATAATAAATGTTTAAGGTTTCACCATAATTCACAATAACCATTAGACATACATAATTATCATTTAATATATAATAAAAATTTGAACATTATATAAAAATTATTGGCATTATTTCGATATTTTTTTTTTTGTTAACTTATTGCTTACTTATTTTGTCTATATAATTTATAAATGATTTTATAACGCCGAAATCATTTTTTTTCATATTTAATATGATACGATTAAGAAAAATTCTCGCATTGAGTAAACTGTAATGTTCGACGGTTTTAACTTCTGTGGGATAGTGTGGTGGTTTATCTGCTTCGTCAGGAAGTTCATCGCCGAACAACACCATTGGCCTTACTGCAAAACAACCCAACGGTTCGCAAATATCTACTAGAATTACTTTTAAATCAGATAATAGTCTCGAATAGTATTCTCGGTAATAACTTGAAAACTCAAACTTGTCGACTAATCCGTTTGTATATTTTGGAATATATTTAATAAAATTAATAATACTTGTTTTAATTTTGACAATATCAAAATCATTATCTACACATGTAAGCTGTAAAAAATTATCCATTATCAGTAACCATTCTTTTGCAAAATGTTCTACGATATTGATATTTTGGAATTCAAGATATAAGAAATGTTTCCAAGTTAACCTTAAAATAATAACTTTAAAGAAGTTAAAAATCACTACATAAAAATCTTTAATGTTTTTAAAGTTTCCGTCTGACCAGTTAAGTAAACTAGCAGTTTGAAACATAATCTTGAATTTTTTTATCATTTCAACGTTCCAAACAACTTGGACATAGTGAGTATATTCGAAAAAAATTATTGCACTTGCATTTGTTGCGAAATATTTCATAAATATGCTGTTTTTAGTAAATTTTTCGGTATTTTCTGTGAACAGCAATTCAGGCCTATTACTTTCTTTTATAAATTTTTCTATATTCTCTATATTCTTACTCATTTTTGAATTTAAAATTGTATATGTTTCTTTAGTTAGATGATCAAAATCTGTTGTATCACTATAGAATACATTATTTGTATCACAATGGGTAACATCTTGTTGCAAAATTTGCATAATATAATCATGAGTTTCCACAACATTTTTGTACCGGCTATTTTTTCTATTTAGCTCTGGGTTTTTTTTTAACATAGGCATACTTATAAATCCGTATACGCCACTTGAATATATATTTAATAGCCACAATGATCCAATATTCTCATTATCTTTGTCATACAATGTACATATTTGTTCTTTTACAATATCAGCATACTTACTTATGTTCAGTATTACAGTTATCAAACTTACTTTTTCGTTTTTCAACATAAGCTGAGTTATTCTCATATGAGTCAATGCACTAAATAAGTAAGAGCATTTTAAAAAGTCATTTCCCTTAGTTGAACTTAAATCAATTGAATCCATTGTTTTAACATACCTTTGAACACAAAAAACTAGTAAGCATAGCTCAATGATAATAAAAATTTTAAATTTTAACATATTTTTTCAATGTATAAAAATATTTTACGTTACATTATTTAGATCTGCAAGCCGAGATTATACATATATATATATTAATTTCACCATGCATATATACGTGTGTGTTTTAATTCGCAATTATTATAAGTGTATGTTTGTTACCTAAAAATAAAATATGAAATAATTTGTTCTAAAAAAAAAGTACAGATATATGGTTTAGTTAAATGCGATGTCATCATTTTTATAAAGAAATTAAGCAACTAATAATGTAATGCAAATAAGTTACTTTAAAATAGATAAAATATAAAAGAGAGATGAAAACTCCCTTTAAATATAGAAAATGTTAAGAGAGAAGTAAAAGGAAGAGTATATTGTAAATAAAGGGGTGATGTAAATGTAATAACTAAAAATAATATGGAGGGGGTGATATTAATAAAGAAGAATGATAATGGCATCATCTGTAAAGACATAATAAATAAAAGTACTTTGTTTCTAGATATAACTTGATTAGTGTAGTTAGTGTGTTAAAACATCTCTTACCTGATATTGCTTGACAGCAGAGCACGGTCCACAGAGTACAGAGGAGAGATGAATAATGCAGGTTTATTAGATATTAAATAAGAAAAATAGATTGTTACAAAAGCCTATATTATAAATTAATTAATAATTATTTTGACAAGAATATATCTTAAATTAAACTAATGACTTATATTAATAAAGAGACACTAAATCACAATACAAGTGTTAAAGAATAAAATGAAGAAAAACTGCAAAGTAAAATAAGAGGGTTAAGCTAAGCACAAAAGTGTAGTCGCGAAACGAGAAAAATGAGAGTGAGTCATTGACGGATGTCAAAGGACAGATCAAGTCCTAGAGGGTTCTTAGGTCTGTTATAATGAGTCACAGTAATAAAACTTAGTGACAATATAATTTATTTAATTAAAAGAAAGGTATCTTTTACAATACAGTGCGAGGAGTTATTTTAACTACATCATTGTTTGTTTAGGATATGCAAACAAATAATGACGAGTAATATGTTGTATATAGCTAATTCTTATGTGAAATTGTATGCGCTTATTAATAGCTTATTTGGTAAGGATTATGTAAACAAAAATTAAATGATTACACGCCTCAACGGCGTCAGTATATCTTTGCTAAGCGTAGGTGAAATGTATTGATTTTATTTAGTAATGTAAAAGAATATTACAAAATGTACCTCTGTTTTTTTTAAAAAAAGCATGTCCCCATGCTGCATAATAATGAATATGCATATTTTTAACAAAATTTGTGATTATGCTCTCTATTTTAAAGCGGTATATTTACTAGTGTTATATGAGTTGGTGTCAAATGTTAAAATGTATAATTTTTTCATTACTTTTATACAATTAAGAAATAATAATATTATATCAGAAAAAAGTTAAAGGTGATATTTTTTTATTCGAAGTCTTCATCATTTGTTTTGTGTTTTCTCGAGTATTTACATGTTCACTCAAACATTGTCGTACATCATTCTTACTTTTCTATTACCATCGTCCTGATTGACTGGTTGAGTATTATTCTATTTGGTTAATGAAGTCATATGTATGTGTCATACTATGTTTAGCAGACATTTTTTATTTTGTTACATTGTGTCAAGTTCTTTTGCTAATTCATAAGATGAATATTTTAAGATCTCTTATAATGATTCTATTGGATACACATCGGTCGAATGTGCTGTTGAGAAATTGTGTTGTGATTATTTGTGCTATTGTTGTGCTACATCAAGTTGTTGTCGATCTTCTCTCTATGTATGCACTGTCGCCGCCATTTTAGCTATAAGTTCTATGGCGTTTTCTAGTCAGTAGTTTTGTATTTGTTTTGTTGTAAAAGTTAAACATCACCTTTGTGATTGCCGCACCCTTGTGCGCTCAGTATATCGCCGTTGGGTATACATATTTTCTGAGATATATCATAGTACCATTTACAGCATATTGTACATGTTGTTCAGCTACTTGCATTCGACTTCAATTGATCCATTCAATATTCAACATTATCATCAGCCGTTTCAATTAGCTGATAAGTATAATTTTTGTTCATCTATATGACTTACTCACATTTATAATTTATTATTTGTTTAAAAATTTTATTATAATGGTAAATGTTTTTATTAATTGTGGCAAATTTATTGTTACTTAGTGGGTAGTTACAGGATTTCGAATTTCTCTATATATACTTTAAATTAAAGGTTATGTAATATAATTTATTATGGAAAACAAAAATTTTGGAATTTATTTTGTCTTCATGGTGAAAATGGCTACTAAATACTATTATTGTATGAAAATTCTCGATTTTATATTTTGAATTTTTAACTTTATATTTATATAACTTTTTAAAAATATATATGGATTAATAACATTTTTTTATGATAAATACTATTTATATTTTCATTTGACATACTTTTTTTTGAAATAAAACCATTTCCTTTATATATTTATGTATTATAAATATATTACACTTATAAATCATGAAACTTGTAATCAGGATATAAATGAGGAAATAGGAGATCATGTAGCTTTTGGAATATTCCGCCAATTTTTCAAAATTAAACACTATCTACAGATTTGCATCGAAGTGTTTTTTATGATAGTGATTTTAATAAAAAAAGTATTATTTCAATTATTACTTATAACATTAACATACAATTTCATTGTTTATATATTTTTATATTTTTTTTCATAAATTAATAAGGACGATATGAATTATTAGTTATAAATTAAATATTATAAATTATCATAATTTACACACTATTATATCATCTACAAAACAATTACAATTTTTAAAATCGGGGGGTATTTTCTCCATAACAGGAAACGAGAGCACTAGTTTCTATTTTTAAGGGTAATGTCTTCGATTTAAAACAATCTGTGATCTTTTAACGTATCGTTTAAACAAATTCGTTACTAGAAGTTTTTATAATTTTTTATAATTTCTACAAAAATCTCGAACAGTACTCTCCCCGTTTTACTTTTGTTAGTTATTTTTTTTCAACTTTTATATTGATATAATGAAGATCTGATTTATGTCTTAATGATCTTTTATATGAAAAAACTATTGTGTGTACATAAAAAAAAAATTAAAGTACAAATAATTTGATTTTGAATCAATTACCTAACATAAACAATATGAGTTCTTTTAAACATACTATCAAATTAACATAATTGAAGTGTAAACTAAATATTTCAATTTAAAATTGTATTTCATTTATATAAATCTAAAATTTTATTTGCAAAATTGAATCATCAATGGCCATACAATTAATTACTAAAGTGGTAGATAAAACAATTTAGGTTTGAAATAAATCAATGCACATTTTTATTAAAATATAAAATTTATTTAACAAAATAATAATAATAAAATACATTTTTTTAAATTATTAATCAATATTTTATCATTAACAAATAAATCAACTCGTATATAACGGAAAATAATTTTTAAAACATAAGAAAAGATAAATAAAGTGAAATAATTTTCATAAACACATCAATCGTAAAAAAATAAATTTCCGATTAATACAAAAAGTATAAAATGTTGTTCAACTAATGGAAACAATATGAAAACTTGACAGCAATTTATATCATTATCAATTTTTTAACTTACAATAAGTTTTATATGCTGTCATTCTTAAAAATTACCTCGCGCATTTCTGGAATCCAAACGTATATGAAACTGATACCTTCGGTAGTATCTATAGCGATTTTTTCATAATGATCAACTATGAAAGGTTGACCTCCATCACAATTATTTTCGTGAAAATTTGTGTGGTTAAGTGCGCTCATTGGCTGCACTTCTTTTCCACGTGTAGTACTCCTGTCTATAACAGGTTGCTCATCGTCGTCTGAATTTGTGAGATCAATAGTTTCCACATAACTAACGGGAAGTTCGTTCAAAGGGTTCATCAATGTTATATATCTAGGACCTGTATACATATCAGTATGGGTCGTATAAAACCAATCTTCTCCCCATGGAGTTAATATTTTGCATTTGACACAACGACTAGTGTTTGAATAATTTTCATTATTCGAAGTGCTTGGCTCCGAGCAATTATTATTAATATCAACATTCATATTTAGTTGACTATTTTTAGGGTCGATAGGTATATCTTCGTTCAAAACAGATTCTTCATCAACGTCATTTGTAACGAGGATATCTGTATTATTTTTAACAACACTTTTTGAAAAAGTGTTATCCTCCGGATTGAAAACATAGTGTTGTGAGATACTGGTTAAATCAACATTTTCGGAATAACTGGTATTCTCCTTGCCATTATGCGAATTGACATGTTGACAATCAATAGAGTTGTTTATATTTGGTTCTACGTTAGTAGGAAAGTCGCCAGCTAAAAAATTCTCTTCAATTTTTATACCAACATCTGTTTCTCTAGTGACAGTTATTTTTTTCTTGGCTGGCAAAATAAATTATAAATAATTTTAATTATAAATAATTCTACTTATTACAGACATTATAAATACTATTTTATAATTATACGACTATATTATAATTATATAGTCAAGTGTGTATTAAATATAACTGATTGCTAAACACAATTAAAACTTATACATACCAATCATCGAGTTGTCAATACTCCATTTAGCATTAGTTTCACGTTCAGAATCCAATAGACACGGATAATCTTTAAATGACCGATCACCGTCAACAGTATACGGTAACTCACAACACCTTAAAAATAGTTTATAGTTAGTATGAAATTTGTCGAGAATGTATTAATTTTTTATCATCTCGATTCAGAAGGAAATATTAAAACGTTCGTGTTTCTTCGCGTTACCATTTAAAAATGACATTGTTAGACAATTAATATCTTTAATATACATGGAATCTACTAATTTATTTTATGTAATAATAAAGAAATTACATTTTTTTATTAGGTTCATCCAAATATTCATTAAATTTGCGTTTTAAATTAATTTTTTGGGTACGACTTCCAGAGGAAGTCGAACTTTCGTCCGATGAATCTTCGCTACTGGATGACGATGAACTACTATTGGACGATGATGAGCTAACACTTGACAAAGATGAACTACAACTGGACAACGATGAGCTTCCAGTTGAAGAGGAACTTTCGTCCGAAGAATCATCGCTACAAGACGATGATGAGCTGTTACTTGATGAGGATGGACTGTAGCTTGACATATTTTATGTGTGTACACACTATTTTTAATAAAACTATGTTTAAGAAATCAATTTGCTTTTAATATTATAGAAAACTTATTAAATTAAGTTTAACAAACATTCGCCGAAGTATCAAATGCAAGTGACAACTAAATATATTTATCGACTAGAAAACAACTTCTCCAAAACAAACAATGTGGTATCTATGTAAAAAAATTGTAACCAATAATAATATAAAATAATTTTTTTTACATTTTGAGATATATATGGTTGAGTTACACTAAGATATAAGGTGTTCCACTGAAATTGAAATTTTTTATATGAATTTAGGAGAATTGTATTAAAAGTACTTACAAATGCATTTAAATAATAATAATAATATAATTTACTTAAGTTAATTTATATGCGCTTTTTCTCAACTTTTATTTGAATACGACCATATATTGGATGTATGAAAAGTTTTTTCATTCTACCTAATCTCATATCTCTACTTAATTTTGATAAATAATAAAAGAAAATTTTAAAAGTAATATTTTATTTTTATATTAAATCATGACTAGGTTTTACTTTTTATGGACAGATATAAAAAAAATGCAAAGCATCACAAGACCTTATTATTTTCACATCAAAACTAAAAAAACACATAATAAGTTTTTGAAAAAATCTACTCAATTTAGTGTAATTAGAACAATTTAAAATTATTAAATTTTGTAGTTTAAAACCTATTATCATATCAAAACTAATTCGATCATAAATGAATGGCCAGAAAGATTTATTAGGTACAAAGCATTTATGTGAAGACACAGAATTAGTTTCACGTTCAGGATCCAACAGCTACGAGCAACAGTGTCCGCGAGATTAAACAACGCATAGCATTAGCAAAAACTGTCTTTAGTAAAATACATAAGTTGCCCGCTTCAAAAAATTTACAAGTCAATATCTAGAAGAGACTTATAAAAACATATGTAAAATAAAAATGTAATGATAAAAATATTTACTTTAAGAGAAAATATGCAATTCTTTGAAAAAGTATATTCATATAGTACCTATTTGAACATTTTTTATTATTTTTACAATATAGTTAATGTTAGGGATAGTAAAAGAACCTAAAAAATCGGTGTTTGTTCCGGAAACTTTTAAATGTTTAAAAACTCGAACCAGGATAGAAATTTTTATTTTCAGAAAATCAAGTACCGGAAACAAACTAAAATCTTTGAATTAAAAGCTAATGATCCCGTTCAGAAATCATTCTATCAAGAATAAAAAAAATATTAACTCACCTATCAGAAGTTAACTTTTTAACTTTTTCTGATTGCCAAAAGTTAAGAAAAATATATTTTATGAAAAAAAATTTTTTAAAGCAGTAGAAAAAGTAATAATTATAATATTAATTTATGTTACAATAATTTTAATTTCACTGTTGTTTTTTAAATAGGAGTAGAGTCATATTTACGTAGGGATAAATGAAGGTACGTGCATATACGCAATTTGAGCAAAATGGTTGGGGGATCTAACTTAATTTTTCCTCTCCTTATAGATAAAGGAAAAATGATTTATGAAGGGCAAAAGAAATAAAATATACGAGTCTGTTAAAGACACAGCACTCAAGAAAAAGAGTTTGTGATTAGGTTAAATTAAAGAAAATGTATTTAAAAAAAAAACCCATCACAGTGGTGACGCGGCATAGTTGGGCCAAGTATAATGATATCTGATAGTGATTAAAATCACTATCAAAAAAAACGTTTCGATGAAAATCTGTATATAGTATCAATGTATAAAAGATGATTCTTCTATAAAAGTATATCCTCCTTTAAAATAAAAGACATTCACAAAAAAAGTTTAATAAATAAATGTACTTTTCACTAAACTTTTTTTCTTTTATGAAAATAAACAAATAACTTTTATCTATAATAAATGTATTATAGACCAACCAAACTTTACATTTGTAACAGTATAATTTTAAATCATTCATATTTTTTAGAACTTATTTTATAAATATATGCACATTTTTTTTCAAATATTAACCATTTTATTAAAAATACTCCATTAATTAATTCTATAAACAATTTTAATCCGTTGAATTTATAACTATGTAAACTTTACTTCAAAATTCAATTAAAGATAACTGCACATATATATTGATTTATGTAAAACTAAAGAGTCTCTCCTTCCCTTGTGTTTCAATTAATTGATCGAATAAGCCTGGGATTGTTATGAAAAAAGTAATTATAGTAATTACTTCAGTACATTCACACTTCTCCTAAAATTAACGTATTGCAACAAAATTTGGAAACATAATCATTATATAAAGGAACCACAATAGTTTTTTTTAATAAAAATGAAACAATTTGTAACTATAATTATTATTTTTTCATATTAGTTTATCATCTGAAATCTATAGACTAATTTTCATCAATCATAATGGAAATAATATTGCAGTCTTTTTTATAATTAAAATATGATCAAAATTAATTTGTAACTAAATCAAATTATTGTACAAATTAAAATTAAAGGTTTAATATTGTTGCAGTGACTTAGTCAGAGAAGGGGTAAAAATCTGCAGCTTTCCTCAAAATTAAAGTGACTACTGAATTATTTAGTAAAAATTATACTTGGAACTATTTGAACAAAGAAAAGGTCATCTAAAATAATTTTATTATGAAATAATAAAACTAATATCATTAATTCTCTTCTCTCTTGTAAACATTGTAGCTATGCTACTGATTAATATTAAGTTTGTTTCTACGTGTAAAAGTTTAATTCATTTTAATACACTTCAAAAGATCTATTTATATTATTTTAAAATAACTTGGGAATAATGTGCTGGTTGATTTTTTAACATAGAAAAATTTGTTTATATTTTTCCATGTAAACGTGTTTATCTAATTATGTGAATTTATAAACACAAAAATAATTTTTGTCATCAGTTAGTACTGTGACTGTTAGGGTGTAATCAAGTGTGAAATTATTTTTCAATGTCTTGTTCCATTTTGAAAAAATTATCTTTAAAAACGTTTCAAGCGGATCATCAAGTCTTAGAACAAGACACTATGTATATTTCAACTCCTATGTATGAAACGCAAAGTTTCCTCGGGTGTCTTGAAAGTAAGTAGATAATTTTTTATGTAATAGTTAAACGAATACTATTCGTTTTAAGTTGCTAACAATGTAACAATTTTATCGTATATTATAATTTTAGATGCTGCCATGCCTGCAATGAAGGCTTCCAAAAGCTGGAAACACACCATTATTAATTGGATAAAGCCATTGACGTTTCAGCAAAAGGTAAGTTCCAAAATTATATTTTATCTAACGATTGATTGAATTAATTTTTTCAGCTTGAGTTGCACAAATCTATTTATCCTATGATGAAATGGTTAAATACAATGGATCAAATTATTTCGTCTCTCGGATCAGAATTGATCCGAGTTGATAAAACTACCGCACGGGCCAGACTAATATGTTTGCGCCATTTCATGCAGAAAATCAAAACTAAACAGCACGAAAAAGATTGGATTGTTAAAACATCCAAAATAGTTATTAAAAAGTTGGATTATCTAGATTCAATAATTATGGTTCATAAATGGGCCACTGACATTCAAATTAAGTGGATTCAAATTTGTGCAGTGGCAATGAATGTAACTATTTTTCAGTATTTGGCTTACAATATTTTAATTTATATCAATTATTTCAGTTGTAAAATATGTATAATTTTTAAAATAAAAAAATTATTTTTAGCTCGAAAAGATACTTTTAAAAATTTTGACGGATAATGAAAACTGTTGAATGAAGTTTCAGCCGATCATTCGAAAACAGCGGCTGTTTCTATTGTGGTGGTGGTTTGATCAGTTTTTATATTTTTCCCAATTTGTGCCTTCAAATCCTTCAATTTAAAATTATTATCTCAACAAATTATTAAAATTACTTTATACGTGTTATTTAAAATTTTCTGTCAATTACCAAAATTTTGTAGCTGAACTAACGGTAATATGATTATTTTTCATCATTTGATACGTAATGCTAACAAGTTCTGAATTTTTTATTTATATATTTCTATAATTAATAACTTCCTTTATTTTATGTACTATAAACATACTCTGTGTCATTATTAAATTTTTATAATTTATTACTATATTATCATTAAATAAATTTTATACTAAAGTATCTTGTTGTTTTTAGTAAAAATAAATATTATTTAATAATTATTCTACTTCATAAAGTACGTCCCATTTCAAGTAATAATTTAAATAATCTATATAATTTATAATGCAATTAATTTATAATGCAATTAATTTATAATGCAATTAATTTATACTTAATTTTTGATTATTGTAATCTTGAATTTAATTTCATAAATTTTAATAATTTAGACTGAACTAAGAAACTGATTTTTAGTGATGAACGTTTTATATTTGTTAAAGTAGTAAATACGAATAATCGCTTATTGTAAGAAGAGCTTTATAGAAAATTACAATAGCTACAATATTATATATAATAATATTTTTCGTAAAACTAAGTAAGTCTGTAGCCTAAAAATGTAAAGCACTAAATTTTTTCATATTTTTCCAAAACTTTGAGATTTATGTGCGCCCAGTTAATCAAGTAATATAAAGCTCAAATTTTTTAGAGATTATTTTTGGGCACAAAGGAACAAATTTACGCCCGGCGCTACTAAAGTTTCGTACAAAAATTTTCCTTCATATGTAAATAGCGACCACCCTATATTACATATATAATATAATTCAAATTAGAATTATAGTATCTTTCTTAATTATTATATTTATTTTTATTATTATTGTTTTTATATCAAGATAACATGATGAGTTATTCGTAAAAAAAAACTATTTTTAAAATATTGTTAATAAAAAACTATTGTTAAAAAACCAAGTACAGTGGGGACGTGGCATAGTTGGATCCAGTAAATATATAAATGTATAATAATCAATTTTTTAATTATATATTATATAATTTTTATAATTGTTTTCAGATTATTATTGATTTTGATTTTTAATGTTAAAAGTAATAATTTTTAACCTACTTTTTTTTGTCCTTTAAAGTTTATAAAAAAAAAAAAATGAATTTATTACCATAACTTTTAGCTCAATTTGCAAGTTTGAAATTGACATCATTAAATAGAAAAAATTGTATTGTAAAGATTAATATGCACTCAGGAAATTTTATAATTATTATTTACAGTAAATTTTTTATTTCATCCATTGTTAAATTCAGGTGCAACTAAAAATCATTTTTTTTTTTAGATTTATGATTTATATAGCAACATGTTACGAAAAAAATTGGAATGTTATAGACTGGTAGTAGCACACACAAATAGAATAAAAAAATTAATATATTACAAAGTAAAATTATTCACTTTTGTAGTTGAATACTTTTATCATATCAAATCTAAATCGACAATAAATACTTTAAAAATATTAGAAATTAATGATTTTAATTGATTGTATGGAGAAAGCTGATTAAGCTACTTTTTATTTGAATAAGGGATTTATTTTCAATTTTTGAGGATAATATCTTCAAATAAATACGAATTGTAATCATTTAACATATCGTTTAAAAAAATAGGTCAAGTGAGGGTTGGGAAAATAAATCCGCGGTCTCAAAAAAAACACATAGTAAAATAATATTAACATGAATAAAAAATGTCTTCTCTCGACAGCTATTTATACCCATAGAAGAAAAGGTGTCGGGACAAATTTTTTTTTGAACACGTAATAAACACTAGGAGGGAGTGTAAATTATTTATGCATAAAATATAAAATGGGGTAAGGATGAAGTGGTACCTTGGGGTCGAACTATTTTTAGTTATCAAATAATAAAATATCTCTACCTTACTTATTTTTATTCTTGTTTATTACGTGAATTTTTAAGAAGTAAAGCATGCAAATAAATATTCGCACTTACCTTTATTTCCTTTTGTAGTTAACTGAGTTAATTTTATGGTGATTTCTCGCATCAGTGCTAACAATCATTTATAGAGTCTTGCGTTTATTTCGATTAATTAGCCTTTGTGTGTATGTTGGATTTAGAAAAGATTATCAACAATGGAACCTGCGTCTATTATGATTAGTTACCATTTTTTTTTTATACTTTTGTAACTCTTTTTATATTATACAATGTTTTTACTAATAATATATTCAATAGATTCCCTATAGTCGATATCAATATTCTTAAAATTTACTCTGAATTTATTAAAATATAATTATAATAATATGTCTATCTATATTCAATATATTAGTTATTAATAACACATAATAATATTATGTGTTTTTTTAGTTTCGATGTGAAAATAATTAGGTCTTGTGATGCTTTGCATTTTTTTTATATCTGTCCATAAAAAGTAAACCTAGTCATGATTTAATATAAAAATAAAATATTACTTTTAAAATTTTCTTTTATTATTTATCAAAATTAAGTAGAGATATGAGATTAGGTAGAATGAAAAAACTTTTCATACATCCAATATATGGTCGTATTCAAACAAAAGTTGAGAAAAAGCGCATATAAATTAACTTAAGTAAATTATATTATTATTATTATTATTATTTAAATGCATTTCTCCTAAATTCATATAAAAAATTTCAATTTCAGTAGAACATCTTATATCTTTGTGTAACCCAACCATATATCTACAAAATGTAAAAAAAATTATTTTATATTATTGATTACAATTTTTTTACATAGATACCACATTGTTAAACATATAATACTTTTTATGATAAATAATTCAAAACAAAATATAAAATCTTAATTATTTTACTATTTATAGATAAATTTATATTTATACTTGAATATTTAAATTTCAACGAATAGCCAGATTTTAGAGTTTTTGGGGTCTCTAGACACATAGTAAAGAAAGGGTTCAAGTATAGCACTCCTTATATTTGTAGCAATATCTCGTAAAATAATTATTTCTCATAAAATGTTTTTATAGCAATAAAAAAAATAATGTTTTTATTTCATAGTATGTATTTTAAACTCTTAGTAATAAAAGCATAATTAAAAAAAACATTTATTTTTTTTTTTCATCATTCAAAATGATGATGATGATTACGCCCATTAGGGCAGACAGTACAGAAATAATACAAATCAATACAAATAATAACAAACTATAAAACTTAAAACTTTAAAGTTATAAATATTAAACTAAAAATAATACAAAATGATGTAAATACAAAAAGAATGTAAATAAATATAAAGTAAACATTTAAAAGATCACTTAAAATTATACTTTGAAAGTAATACATGTTGACGAATCATGATTAAAATCAAAATTTTTTAATGAATTACATAAGTTTAGCATGCGTTTAACTGGCGAGTTTTTACAATAGTTCTGCGTGAGGGTAGGTATATAAAACATGAAATTATTACGAAGAAATACTTGAGGAACATTGAATGGTATCTTTTCTAAAATTTCGGGACAATCGATTTTGTTATGGAGTAAATTTTACATCCACTTTACATATAAATATTGTCTTCCTCATAATAGAGAGTCCATTTTCAAATTATTAAAAAAAATCTTTTGGTTAATCCTATTTTTATTAAATTTGCCCGATAAAGAGGTTAAGAAACGTTTTTGAATAGATTCAATCTTTTTAATATCGTTGGCTATAAATGGGGACCAAATAATAGAACCGTACTCCAGGTCAGATCTTACAAGAGAAAAGTATAAAGTTTTTAAACAATCAATATCATGATCATTTATATCATGTTTTTTTTTTTTTACATTTTATCCCGTAACCCGTGTAAGTTGTAACACAATCATTTAGTAGTTTAGTAATTTTACATACTTAATTTTTCGGGTTTTTGCAGGTCTGAACTAAGGATTAATATTATCAAATTTTTTTTCTGGGAGGGGTAATATTTTTATAATATCGTTTAACATAAATGTGGTGAATATTAGTTAGATAAAGTTGGACCTTATATATCAAGACAAGACATGGTGTTGAGAAACGTTATGTCAACACAAGAAAGATTAGCTATGACGCTGCGTTTTTTGACCACTGCAGATCGTTTTAAAAGCTTGTCATATCTATTTAACATATCAACCCAAACTGTATCAAGATGTGTACATGAAACGTGTTCTGCATTGATTGATGAACCGAAATATGAAATAAAGGTATTATGAAAGTAGGGTGAAAATGGGCATTCAGCCCGATAGGGGAAGTAAGAGGCGTGGCCTATGTGGAAAGAGTGGGAGAAATATGCGTGTTCTGTTAAGGGGAAGGCTATCACCGCTTCACCCACCCACCCCGTCTTCTGAGTGTATGTGAAGAGGGGGGAGTAAATAATAACAATTAATCTAATTGACGGCGACATCTGCTGTATAAATCTCAAGTGCTATAGTGTAATCATCAATACAGCCATCTGGCACACAATGACTGTTTTGAATAAATCTATGTTTTTTTTTACAAATTAAGTAAAATTAACATTTTTCCGTACAGACTTTATCTAAATATATGCATGTCGCATATCAAAATCCATTTTCACCCTACACCCAAAGAAAAACCTCAATCAAAATTGAAAGAGAAATTTTATCAAGGGTTTATGATAATGTTTTATTAATACGAACAAAATAACTATTCTTATAAATAATTATTGTTCAAGACAAGAAAAAAAAATATCATATTGATAAATATATCATTGATTCAATAGTAATGATATATTTATCAAATTGAACAATAAATTTATTATATAGATCGAGGTTTTTCTCTGGGTGTACTTATGAAAATTTATTTAAATTGAATTTACAATAAATGATGTAATTTAAACAAAATTGTTAAGTTATTAACAAATACGTCATTAAACAATTAAAATAAATGCATAATAAGAATTGATCACTTGTGGCTACTATTATTTAAAGTTAAGAAAATATTAATTTAAAACTAAAAAAAAATTCCTAATAAATCGCGGATACGTATTTCGAGAACAAAGTTACCATTACCAACACTAAAAAAAAACCCAGCACAGGGGGGTCGCGGCACAGTGGTGACGTGGTATAGTTGGATCAAGTATAATGATATCTGACAGTGATTAAAATCACTATCAAAAAAAAACGCTTCGATGCAAATCTTTAGATAGTGTTTAATTTTAAAAAATTGGTGGATTATTCCAAAAGCTTCATAAACTGCTAGTTCCTTATTAATATCCTGATTAAGACAAAGTATGTAGAATAAAAAAGAGATTATTAGAAAATAGTATTTCCCATAAAAAAATTATATTGATCAATACACTTTTCAATAAGTTATAGCATTATAATGTTAAAAATGTAAAAAATAAAATTGAGAATTTTCACACAATAATAGCATTTGGTAGCCATTTTCACCTTGAATATAAAATATAGTCCGAAATTTTTTTTTTCCATGATAAAGTATATTACATTAGCTTTAATTTAAGATATATATAAAAGTGTCAGACTTTCCGGAACACTTTCAAAATTTAAGTTGAAAAAGTCAATTTTTTGTGAAAAAGTTGTCATTTTGAATCCCCCCCTGTAGGCAGGTAAAAAGTCAGATTTATAAAAAAAATATACCAAATGATAGGTAAAGACATCATGCATCTACAAAAAAAAGAATTATATTGATCCATACATCTTTCGAGAAGTTATAGCATTATAAAGTTAAAAATATAAAAAAGAATTTTTTTACAAAAATCGTATTTTTTTTATTAAGTTTAATGTCTGTTTTCACCATGAAGATAAAATAAAGTCCGAAATTTTTTTTTACCATTATAAAGTATATTACATTAGCTTTAATTTAAGATATATATAAAAGTGTCAGACCTTCCGGAACACTTTCAAAAGTTACGTTGAAAAAGTTCTACTTTCTATATGCATTTTTATGTTTTGAATCCCCCCTGTATTTAGGGAAATGGTCCGATTTAAAAAAACAGTATGTCGAATGAAAGATCTATATAAATACTACTTCTCATAAAAAAATTGTAATGATTCATACATTTTTCAAAAAGTTATAGCATAATAAAGTTAAAAATGGAAAATACAAAATCGAAAATTTTCACACAAAAATAGCATTCGGTAGCCATTTTCACCATGAAGATAAGATAAAGTTAAGATTATTCCAAGCTTTTGGAATAATCCACCAATTTTTTAAAATTAAACACTATCTAAAGATTTGCATCTAAGCGTTTTTTTTTTTATAGTGATTTTAATCACTGTCAGATATCATTATACTTGATCCAACTATGCCACGTCACCACTGTGCCGCGAACCCCCTGTGCTGGTTTTTTTATTTAAAATAAATACTGTACAATTTTTATTTAATGCATATTTTAGTATGTAATTGATAATTATTACTATATTATTAATTTGTTTGATCGCCCGCATTGAAATATGAGATTTTCTATGATTGTAAAAGGAGACATTTCATTAATTTGTATGTTTTGGTTAAGACATTATAGGTGGTTGATATATCGAGTACGAGTTGGACGGAGGATATATAGGTGATCTTAGAGGAAGTCGGGTAAAATAGGAATTAGGTACATGATTGGAGTAGGATATTTACTATGATTATTACTTATAGTAGTTTGGTAATTGTACTTTGCATTAAAAATAATAATTGTCAATATCGTGCATATCTATTCCTCTCGTATGCTCATCTAATGATATTAATTTTACCGCCAAAAGGTTAGCATAAAGTGAACATTTGTCGCACACCTCATTTGGCTCATCGCACATTTTTTGGATCATCAGTACGCCTTATCAATTTGGCTTTTAGCTATTTCGATATCATCACTTTTCTTCTTTTGGCCTTTACGATGTTGGTTGTGTATCTCCAATCTCACTTGATTCAACACTATCATCCAGAGGGTCAATAGTATCTTCTAATATACTTTCAGATATATCGGTATCCTAAAATAAATTTCGATCTAGCCATTAAAATTAATATTAATAAAATACTTGTTTGAATTATTGAAAAACCTAATATTTTATTAATTAAAAATATTTATTAATTTTTAAAAACAATTATGCATTATCTATTAATCTATATTAAATTAAATTAACCAGATACCTCATTTAATTAACATATCATTGTACAAGTTATAACATTACTTACAAACAATAACAAACGCTAAATACCATTTTTATTTTATATTTGTTGTCCAGTTATCCATGATAAAGGTTGTATTACCTATACTATATAGTTACTCTAACTATATACTTGGGTAAAAATGACCATGTATAAAAACTAAATTAATTTGGCTGATCCAACCATACGTTACTGGGTAGAATTACTGACAAAGACAGTTGCAAATACTATAGTACGGTTCTCCTAATCATAGTATTTCTAACCATTTACCATACTAAAATCATTTTTTTCCGTGTAGCGGACGATGCTTTCGCTCTTAGTCCGCGTATTATGAAACCCTATCCGGACATACGGTAAAGGGAGCGCAGAAAGAATTTTTAATTATCGTCTCTCGCGAGCTAGACGTGTTGAACTCTTAAAAAAGAAAACTGTGTTTACAATGTTGTATTGTAACGACACCGTATCTTGTCCATATTAAGTACTGTTTTTTAAAGTTTGAAAAAAAAAATTAATATCACCATTCAGCACAGTAATACAATTATAGAACACGATCGATAGGTATGCCGTCACGTGACAATTGTAAAACATAAATAGAATTTCGCGAGATAATCAATTGTTAGTATCAACCAACAAATAACAATTATTACCGATAAAGTAAAAATATACTTTTTTCTCTTTTATAAATATAATGTAATAATATGGAAAATGCGTCCCGTTTGTATTTGGTCGGGACAACGGGACATAATTATCAAAAAAGGAATAATTCCGTTTTAAACGGGACCGTACATCCCGTTTAAAACCTAACCCTGGACTACTGCTATGATTACTGTTACAGACTATTGATACGGATTACTACTATTTCTATATGCTACTGCTTGACACAGTACCGTATAATTTGCGATACGTTTAGTACACTGATACCTCGTCTATCTCATCAACCGCCTGATTACATCGCGTGTACAGTCTCAGCAGAGT